CTGAAACCCTAAGCCCGAGGAGACAGGGCCTCTGGGAGAGGAATTAGGTCAAGGGGCTCAGAAATGGCATGAGTGCCAGTGTAAGACCCTCAGACAGCTCCGTGCCCTTCCAGCAGGTGGCGCCACAGCAAGTGGGCACTGTCGATGCTCCAGACCCTGAACCGGCCTCCATCATGATCCTGGACTTGTCAGAGCCTCCAGGACTACAAGAAGTCAGGGCTGATGAACGACCCAGTTCACGGAATTTTTCTCAGAGCTGCCCAAATTGCCTAAGACAGTCGTCTTTCTAAATGCGCACGCAGCTAAGCACGTTACTTCCTTCCTTGTCTGAGGCTGAAGTCCACGCTCCCTTTATAGCTCTCCAGCTGGCAGCCGGGCTCTGCCCACAGCTCTTTCTGGAAGCCCTTTGCACAGTCCCTGCTGCTGACACAGAGACGCCCGGCAGCACCCACGCCCATGGCACCCAGACCCGCTTCAGGCCTCCAGGCCACAGCTCTTCTGAGTTCCCCTCCCACGAGAAGATCCACTCACTCCTTACTTATCCCACAGACAGGGACTGAGCTCCCCCGGGCCAGGGCACGGTGGGGCAGGGGACGCTGTGCCCAGCCTCAGGGAGTCCAGCAAGGACACACACAGAGCAAGCCAGCCACGCAGGGCAGGAACCCTCCCAGGGGCTACCATTCTGGGTCCTCTGCAGTTTGGCCCAGGAGTCTCTCCTATTTTTGCACACCAAACTGAAGTACAAGTGACCCCCACATTTTTGTTGCGATAACTTAGAATCTGAAAAGCCTTGACAGGCGATTTCTGCCCTGTTATTTCCTCTTTCACAAACTCACAATGCTAGCAAAACGCTAATCAGATTTCCAAGTCAGCATTCCTAAGGCCTACCGCCACGCCAGTCTCCATTCTGCAGGGCACAGCTGACCTCCACGCCCTCCCTGGCCTGCCCACAGGGCTCCAGCTGACAGAGGGCACCCCAGCCCTTTCCCACCTCGCCCTGAGCTGACCCTGGTGGGCTGAGGGCCCCAGAGGCTGAGAGCACTTCCATCTTTCATTCCTCACTCAACAGAGTGCAGGCCCACAGTACACATTTCAAGGGCCAGGATCCACTTTTACAGGTAAATTATTTTGCACACTAAGCACAGATTTATGTAACTTTAATTTTTTTTTATTTTTGAAAAGCAGAATTAGAGACAGAGAAGTACCTTCCATCTGCTGGTTCACTCCCCAAACATCTGCAGTGGTCAGGAGTCTGGAACTCTATCCAGGTCTCCCACCTGGCTGGAAGGGGTCCAAGTACTTGGGCAATCTTCCGCTGCGTTCCTAGGAGCATTAGCAGGGAGCTGTACCAGAACGCTGCCCCCTGTAAAGTTTTGTTTGAATAACTGAACAGTATCTATAAAAACCTGAAAAAAACTAAAAGGACCTCTTGTTGTTGATGGTCTAGAAAAATCCTAGCAGTGAACATTAAAATAGCATGTACAAGTGGCAGGTGTTCCGTACAGTCACTAAGCTGCCAACCAGGACATGACCGTAACTTATCGGCGAGCCTGGTTCGAGTCCTGGCCACGCTGCTTCCAATCGTTTCCAGATAATGAAGACTCAAGGAGGCAGGAGACAGTGCTCAAGTACTTGGGCACCTGCGACCCACCTGGGCGACCCCTGTGGAGCTCCTCACTCGTGGCTTGCCTCAGCCCCAGCTGTTGCTGGCTGCAGGCATTTGGGGCATGAACCAGTGGACAGAAGACTACTCCCCCTTCCCTCTACCTTTTAAATAAAAAGAAAATAAACTTTAAAAACATTTTTTTAAAAAAAGCAACAGAGGGGCCAGTATTGTGGTGCAGCAGGTTAAGCTGCTGCTTGCGGTAATGTCAAGTCCATACCAGGACTCTGGTTTGAGTCCCAGCTGCCCTGCTTCCAATCCAGTTACCTGCTACTGCACCTGGGAAAGCAGTGGGAGATGGCCCAAGTGTCTGGGTACAATCCCTGGCTCCTGACTTCCTCCTGGTCCAGTCCCAGCCAACGCAGCCATCTGGGGAGTGAGTCAGCAGACTGAAGACATTTCTTTCTCTTTCTGTCTCTCAGCCTTTCAAATATTTAAATAGGAACAAAGATGTCTTATTTTACTATTGGGTTTTGTCATTAAGAATTCGAAGCAGGTGCCAATGGCCACCAACAGACAGGCAGGAGAACAAACCGTGGAGCACTTGGACTGGCACGGCACGCAGGAGTGAGTCTTGGTCCCAACAGCGCTGATGCTGCCGGGAAGTCACTGGATGGCAGCTGCGTTTATTCTTTAAAAGCTTATTATCATACTTATTATTAAAAACCAACATCTTTTCATAGCATAATGAAAAACCTCCATGAACACATCTCTGCTGTGTCCATGGGGGCACAGACTATGTACAGGGAGGGAACTTTCTGCTTCCACTTTAACGTCACAGACTTTGTTAGAATGTGATTTACAAAACAAAAAACACAATCATTAAAGTAAAAAGGGATTTTAACACTACAGTGTACACTGTTTTCCCAGTTTCCTGTTTAGGAAACGGATTGTTTTTTAAATTCCAGCATTTTTAAAAGCTTAACTATTTATTACTTACTGCCATATTCATGGCACCTACAAAAGAAACACACAGCAGGCCCTCAGTTAATATTTGTTGAATGAATCACTGAATGAAACAATTAGAAAATCGGTTACTTAGAGGAACAAAGTATCTAACAGTTGCTTCGTAAATTCCCAGAGGAAAACTATCATGTCAGAAGGTATCTTAACAGACATTTTTTTTTTTTTTTTTTTGACAGGCAGAGTGGACAGTGAGAGAGAGAGACAGAGAGAAAGGTCTTCCTTTGCCATTGGTTTACCCTCCAATGGCCGCCGCGGCCGGCGCGCTGTGGCCTGTGCACCGCACTGATCTGATGGCAGGAGCCAGGTGCTTCTCCTGGTCTCCCATGGGGTGCAGGGCCCAAGCACTTGGGCCATCCATCCTCCACTGCACACCCAGGCCACAGCAGAGAGCTGGCCTGGAAGAGGGGCGACTGGGACTAGAACCCGGTGTGCCGGCGCCGCAAGGTGGAGGATTAGCCTATTGAGCCACAGCGCCGGCTTAACAGACTTTTTTTAAAATATGATTTTTTTTTCCCTAATTTTCAGAGTCCCAGAGAGAGAGAGATCTTCCATCCACTGATTCAGTCTCCAGATAGCCACAACAGCCAGGGAGCCAGGAGCTTTATCCGGGTCTCCCAGGTGGGTACAGGAGCCCAAGGACTCGGGCCATCTTCCACTGCTCTTCCCGGGCCACTAGGAGGTAGCTGGACTGGAAGTGAGGCAACAGGAACTCCAACACGGGATGCTGGCATTGCAGGCCTTGGCTTAAGCTACTATGCTACAACGTCGGGCCCTGCATGTAAACTTTTAAAGAGCACAGCAACTGTCGTAGCATCATTGGCAGCCTTCAAACTCTACACAGAAAGAACTCCTTCCAGATCAGAACCTGGAGACTGGCACACACCCGTTACACAAATAAAATAATGTCGGGGAGGAGAAAGCCAACAATCGAATTCAGGGCAGCGAGCCTGAGTGCTCTGGGCTTGGCCCACTCACACCGACTTCACCCTTGCTCTGAAGACCCTGGCCCCTAACCGGGAGCCCCTTTATCTTCACATCCCAAAAAGTGCACCTCCAAGACACGAGGCCTCCGTGACTGGACAGGTGACATAACCAGGGAGATGGAAAGACAGCCAAGGCTCCGGGCTTAGAGGCTGGGATAAAGCTCCAAGGACAAAGCCCTGAGGGCTGCAGGTGTTAGTGTTTTCAACAAGACCCTTAAGGTTCGCCCACGTGCTACCACGCTAGCTAGGACTGTTTATGTAAGTCTCTGACAGTGCTGAGCACAGGAGCCTCCCCAGAGAAAGCACTTTAAGTAAGGACTTGTTAGGGGACACATGGACGCAGCTGTGTATCTAATTCAAAAAACCCACCTACTCCCTGGATTTCTTCTAATCACTGCTCTTCATTCTAAATCTCTCTGAGAGGGTGGCTTAGTTCTTGCTCTGAAAACCAAAGGCATCAGATGCACAGCCACCAAATACCATTAATATTTAGAGGAAATGAAGGAGTTGGCTGTGAACACAATTCAGACCGCTCTCCGCCATCCTTCCCCAACCCTAAATATCCAGATCCACTAGATGCCAACAGATGCTAAAAATAAGTCAACAAAGCAGCACGGCCACACCTACCAATTCTGCGTCTGAAGCAGCGCCCAAGGTCTCTAACTGAAAAAGGTGAACTAGCCAACTAGCCCGGCCCAGAGCAGATACCTGACTCCACATCTAATGAGGAAGCGCCTTGCAGCCGCCGGGACCTGAGCACCACTGCTGTGTGACACTCTGTCCGCGGCCTTGGCCATCAGCAAGGTCAAAGAATAAGAGGTACAGGCGAGAAGAGCGAAAACTTGGGGTTACCTGAGACCCGACTTCCAGGCGAGCCCCACCTGCTCTTCTGAACAAGTGGGAATAAACTCTCGCCCCGAGGGAGGCGCTGGCCCCCTGAAGCCAGGGCGGGCAGGGCTCAGGTGCCCAGACCCCGCGGGAAACCCACCTGGGCCGACACCTCGGGGACGCAGAGGGCCGGGCCCAGGCGCTCGCGCGCCCGCGCACCGCCCAGCGAGGGCCCGACCTGCCCCACTCGGGACCCGTGCAACACCCACGGCCGCGCTCACGCTGGCTGAGCAGGAACCTGCCGCGCGCCCCGACGCAGGGGCGGCCGCGCCAGGCACGCACGCACACACACATACACGCGCGGCGTGCGGGGGGCTCCCGGGCGCGCGCGGCGCCCCGTCCCGGCACGCGTCCCCCGGCGCCGCGGCCCCCAGGCCCCGGAGCCCGGCCCGCGGCGCCACGGGAAAGGGCCCGGGGGCCCGCGAGCGCCCGCGGCCCGGGGAGGGGAGAGGGCGGCCGGGGCGGCGCCCGGGCCCCGTGCGGCCGCGGCCCGCGCCTACCGTGTAGCCCCGCTCCAGGTCGCTCTCCTCGTAGCGAAAGGACGGGATGTAGACCTCCATGGCCCAGCCAGCCGGCCGGCCGACGGCGGGCGGGGCCGGGCTGGCTCTCGGCTGCTGCGGCCGCCGCTCCGCCCCCGGCCCGACCGCCCCGCCTCCCGCTCCGGCGCCCGCGGGGTCCGAGGCTGCGCGCGGCCGCCGCGGGGTCCGCACGCCGGAGCGCGCCGCGGGCCGCGCCTGGGCGTGCCGGGGCCGGGCCGGGGGCCGCGGGAGGCGGGGCCTGCAGCCCCGAGTCCGAGGCGGCGGCGGCGGCCTGCGGGAGGCCGGCCTTGCGGAGGAGCCCCGCGGACGCCCCGGGATTGGCCGCGCCCGCTCCCGTCCCGCACCGCTGGCTCCTGCCGTGACGGAGCTCCGCGTCCGGGTGCGTGGAGACCACGGCGTGCGCCCCCCGTTCCGCGGAGTAGTACTCAGCCGTGAAGAAGGGCGGCGTTGCACCGTGGCAGTGCGGGGGTGTGTGCACGGGAGACGACATGTGGCGTGGCTCCCGCCTGCGAGGACGCCGGGGGGCGGGGGGGGGGGGAGGTCCCGCAGCCCAGGGTGCGGTAGAGAGTCGGAAAAGACAGAAAAGCAGGGCACGTGGGGGACCGGCTCCTGCTCCTCAACCAGGTAGGCCCAGGACCCAGGCTGAGGAGCTGGATGGTCACCTCGCCCGGGAAGCCAGAGCCCCTGCTGGGACCTGAGGACGAGGAGGAAGCCGGCCTCTTGCAGAACCGGACCCCCCCTCCCCCCCGCCGTGCTTCTGCAGGGCTGCTCCGTGCGCCTGCCAGCCCGGCCCCCGCGGGGTGTGCCCTCCTGGCCAGTAAACACGAGGACTAATTCTTTAAGAAAAGCACCCTCCATGCCTCGCCTGTGCCTTCCTGTCTTCCACACCCGCAGGTCAGACCCGGTCTGCAGGTTGCCTTTACGCCTCTGGGGAACCCCGCCTGCGCTGGGAGATCTGTTTACCTTTTTAAGATTCAGGACAAGAGCCTTCTTCAAACAAAACAAAACCAACACTTGTCATCTCCTGCTTGGCATGGGACCTGGGAGACTGTTCTCGAAAGCGTCGTAGGTACATTCAGTGCTCACCTGGACAGACCCGGTGGGATGTGACAGCTGTGCCCTGTACCGTCATAGCGCTGTCTCGCTGAAGTTGCTTCCCAACCCCGCGTGCGAGTGTTGTGTCTGTGAAGATGCAGCGGGCACCGGAGTTGCGCCTCCGCTTAGGATGCTGGTTAGGCTGCAGGGACACCCTGTCAGAGGACTGGGGTTCAAGTCCCAGCTCAGGCTCGGTTGCCAGCTTCCTGCTGGGAGGCAGGAGAGATGGTGCCTGGCACCCATCCATGTGGGAGACGGGCAAAGAGCGCCAAGCATCTGCCCAGCCCAGGCCTGGCTCTTGTGGGCACTTGGTGGGTGGACCCATAGATGGGAGCTTTATCTATCTGCCTCTCAAACAGTAGCTCATTTTATAAAATGCAATGGGAATTTCAAAAGCTAAGAGGTAGTATTTTTGTTTTTGTTTGTTGCTACCCATTCATTTCTATTTATTTGAAAGGCAGAGCGACAGAGAAAGAGGTCTTCTGTCTGCTCATTCGCTCCCCAAATGCCCACAATGGCTAGGGCTGAGCAAGGCCAAAGTCAGGAGCCAGGAGGATCTCCCACTTGCGTGGCACGGACTCAGTATTCGAGCCATTATTTGCTGCCTCACAAACACATTAGCAGGAAACTGAATGGGAAGCAGGCATTCCACATGATGGCTTAACTCAGCCACAACTGCCCATTTTTAATTTTAAAATTAATAGTTGGGGCCAGTGTTGTGGTATAATGGATTAAACTACCGCCTACATTGCCAGCATCCCATATGGGTACAGGTTCAAGCCCTAGCTGCGTCATTTCCAATCCAGCTTCCTGCTAATGGCCTGGGAAAAGCAGCCAAAGGTGGCTCTAGGTGCTTGGGCTTCTGCACCCATGGGGGAGACCCACATGAGGTTCCTGGCTCTTGGCTCCTGGCTTCAGCCTCGCCTAGTCCCATCCATTGCAGCCATTTGGAGACTGAACCAGCAGAGGAAGGTCTGTCGCTCTGTGTGTGTGTGTAACTCTGACTTTTAAATAAATAAAATAAATCTTTAATAGTTGATGATGGCAGAAGACCCTCCAAACAACTGCAAGGTTAAAATAGGTAATGTAGCCTAGAATTATGTGGGCACAAAATCTTTAAGCTACAGATTGTTGATCAAGGTTTTGATGGGATTTCCATGCTGTTCTTCTGCAGATACCTGCCAGGGGCCGGCAAAGATACTTGTGTGATGGCATGGCTCACCACTCACCTGCTAGACTTACTGTGTGGATATGAAAGGTGGTTCAGATGAAACATACACGCTGTGTGCACTAGTACTCTGTATAATTCCCCCTCGCCTCGCTAAAAAGGCACACAAGCTGACAATGTGTGGGTGCCTGTATCCTGGAGGGTCTCTCCCAGCAGCCAGATCTGGTGTTGTTACAATTTCAGTTAGTATAGATGGCATAATAGAGGCCCAGAGAGGGTAAGTAACCATTATTAAATCACTGCTTAATAATTAGAAGAGCTAAAATTCTCCCCAAATTCTAACTAAATACATGGAGAAAAGAGCGGCACTTAAGGGAGAAAGCAGGCAGCCGAATCTCCCATTCTGGCTACAGAGTCATTCTGATTCTGCAATCTGTGACTGGCCAGCTAAGTATCTTAACGCACAGCGGACACACTGAACAGTTAACGTCTTCTAAGAATAGCAAACTGCTTATATAAGTAAAATACAAACATTCTGCTGGAAGCCGGCTATGCAGTCCTTACACTAGGGGTGGCATGTGGCGAGGCAGTTAGATACCACTTGGATAAAACGCCTGCCTCCCCTATTAGGGTGCCCAGGCTGGATCTCAGCTTCCCTCCCAATTCCAGCTTCCTGCTAACGTGGCTGGGGGGCAGCAGGTGAGGCTTCCAGTGCTGGTGTCGTGGTCCTGCGTGGGAAGAGTCGGTATTTTACAAGATCTAAGTTCCCACCAACATGATTTATAAAGTGAATACAATCACAGCCCCAACAAACTAAGTTAACCGAGAAGCCTGCTCTGAAAGTCATTAGAAAATGAAAAGCCAGAGTGTTTTTGGAAAAGCAGCAAAATGAGTGAGGAGATCAGTTACCTTATAGGACGTAAACACACACTGTAAAGCCATAGGAACCAGTCAGGTATGTTCCTGGAGCCAAATTAGCCTAAGGACCAAGGGATGCTCCTAGCTGGAACTGGATTCCTAGTAGATGTGAATGTAGTGTGAATGTGAATGTGAATGTACTGTGGCTTTTCAAATCCAAAGGAGTACAAAAAACCAGGTGTTTAACAAATGGTGCAGGGATACCCGGCTATCCATTTGGAAGAAAAGTAAAACAGATTTTTAAAATATAAATTTTACCAAATATAGTAAAAAGCTCTATTAAAAAAAAAACACAGCTATAAAATACAGGAAGATACTATTACAACCTTAAGGGAGACAAAGTCTTCTTGGAATATAACATACAAAATGTCAAAGACATTAAGGGAAACATTATAGTTTAGAAAAGAAGTTGAAATTAATGTAAATCAAAGCATAAAGTATAAAAGACATTCAATAAACTGAGAAAAATATTTGCAACAGGGGCAACAAAAGAATTGACACATATTTTGTATTTAAAGAATATCTACATTTTTTTTCCTAATGGAGCAACAAAAAAAGACACAGTAGGAACAGGTAACAGCCTGAAAAATGTAAATGGGGGAAAAATTTTGTATAAGTTACCCATACATAACTATATGAATACATAAGAAATTGTCCCAAGCACAACTGTTTAATACCATCTCCCGAAGTGGCTGGCAGTCAGAAACCTGGGAGCTTAGGTTGCAGTAAGAGGTCAGCCAAGGCTGCAAGGCTGGGCTACAGGATCCACCTCCAAGGTGGTCCACTCCCGTGCCTGGCAAGTTAATGCGGTTACTGGCAGGAGGCCTGAGCTTCCGTCCACTTGGATCCCCCCACACTTGGAAGTTGGCTTCCCACAAATAGCTCAGGGCATGACGACCTTTATGACACCCTCAGAAGCTTACTCCACCATTTCTGGAATATCTTCCTCATTACACAGCTTAGATCCAATCAGCACAGGAGGGTGCACATCTCAGATGGCCATCAAGGAGGCTGGCTGCCACGCAGTTCTGAGCAGAGATGCCCAGCTGTGGCAGAGCTCATGGAGATGCAAATGACAGCAAGCAGGTGTCTCACCTTTCAGATGGGCCCAGAGATGGGGCAATGAACCGGGACAGCCCTTCTGAATGGGCAATCAGCAGCGGTGGCACAGTGTGAAATGCACATGGCCACGGCAGAAGTTTCACACCTGAAACAGGTTTCACATACGCACAGGGAAGGAGAGGTGTGTAGAAGAATACTGCGTACTTTATGAAGGGAAACATCTGTGGTGGTTGGATAAAAGTATCTTGCTACACTTGCAGGACAATGCAGGTAAAATTACTGATGGGGAGACTTCTGGGTTAAGATAGGGATCTGAACGCAGAACAATGGCACCAAAGGAGCCTTTCCTTTTTTCTCAACCCACAAGGACAGGAAAGCTGGAAAAGACGACAGCATGTACGTGAGCCAGAAAGCAGATGGATGAGAAGTAACTCGTGCAGCCCACGAGAAATCCTAACCTAAAACCTGCCCTGGAAAAGCTGCAAACCAACCTGATTTGCACAGCACAAAGCAGAGGACAACAGGAACCTTTAGAACAGGGGGTTGCTGGGTAAAATAAGCAGGACCGGGTGAAAGTCAAGAATCGGCAAGATCCCTCATCAGTCTGCTATCCTTCCGGAAATTCCTTTGGAATTCTCAAGTCAGGCTGGAAGGCGGCAGACAATGGAGCAACGTCTTCAGCATTCTCGGAGAAAATTCTTTCAGGTCTGTACTCAAATTATCTATTAAAAATCAGGACAACACAAAGTCTCAGAAGCTTCCTGATGGCTTCCTCCACCATCAGTGTTCTCACTGCTGTAACCAGAGTGCGCCAGAGAAGCTACTTGGAAGGCAGGAAGGTTTGTTTCAACTTAGAGTTTGCAGGTTCAGTCTCAAGGTCAGATGGTGCCATTGTTTCAGGTTTCGGGTGAGGCCAGAGGATGGCAGAGGGGCAGTCAAGCCATCAGGCTAGGAGGGAGGGAGGGAGAAAGGGAGGGACTCACACACCCAATCCTCTCGAGAACCTGCAGAGGACAAGCCCCTGTTACAAGAAGCCCCTCACACCTGGTTGCAGAATTGTTACAGATGCGCCAGTCTGCTTGCCACACACTCGGCAAGCGAGGTGCGGACTCCACATGCTGGGAGGAATGAAGGGTGGGGAAGCTTACAGAGGTGGAGCCTCGTATGACAGTCTCTCGTGTGGCTCTCTGGCTGGTCTAGAGTGCGGGTGGCCTTCCTTGAACTGGTCAGCGACAGGCCGCTGGCACGTTCTGATGGCAGAG